CGCTGTCCACCGCGCGCAGCCAGCGCCGCGGGGCTTGCAGGAGGCCGCCGGGAGGGGCGGGCGCGCGAGCGGAGCACGAGGAGGCGGAGGCGGGGGAGAAGTGATGCTGGCGCCGGGGATCCGGGCAGCGGCAGCGGAGAATAAGCATCTTTGGGACCCCGGCTGCAGCGTCCCTGTGGCCCGCGGGCCAGCTGAACGGCCAGAGACCGTGCGTCCCGCGGGTAAGGTGCGGCTCCCTAGACTGCTTTGTGATCTTAGGGTGCTTACGAGGCGCTTAGCGTCCAGTGCATCCGGACAAGGATGTTTGGGACCTGGACGGCGAGTCATTTTGCCTGGCCAGGCTGATGCTCGTGCCGGTGCAGCTTCAGCTCCTGCCTTCTGGCTTAGGCAGTGACAGACTTTGACAGCGCGTGGATGGCATTGTGTGTGTGAGAGAGTGTGGGTATGTGTGTGTATGTGCGCGCGCACACACACGCACGAGGTTTGGGGCACTTTGCAAGGAGAGGAGTAGGTCCCCTTTATGTGGACCGGTGTCCTTCAAGGATCCCGGCTGGGATGGAGTGAACAGGATGTTTTTAGTTTGGCTGGAGGGAGAACACGGTGCACTGGAAAGTCTCCCCTGGCTCAGAAGGAGCTGGGCAAATTGAACTTTATTGCCTTAATGAAAAGGAGCCCTTGGGTCTGGCGCGCTAGGGGAGAAGCGCATTCACTGAGGCTCCCCAGAGTCTCACTTTACGCCAGGGACTTTGGAGCAGAGAGTAATGGTTGGTCCACCTTGCTGAAGAGGAGCAAAGCGAAGTTGATGTGGGGCAAGGGCCAGAGGCTAGGCTTGGGGACTGACCGCTTTTAGGTGGCAGAAGCCGCGCATGGGAGGGCTCAGTACACTTTCCAGGAGCGCAGATTTGGGGTGGAGAGAATTCCTCCGATCCAAAGGTTTGGCGCCTTTTGGGCTCAGGTGGACGCGACGGGACCACAGGGCAGAGGTGGAGTGGAGCTAGTGTGAATGGCGGAGGAACGTCCTGGAGGAGTCACTTGCTCCCCGGCCGCTTGACAGGTGTGCGGTCCCAGCTTGGTACTGGTGTGTCCTGGGACAGATGCTGTGAGAGCTGCTATGCACTGGAAAACTTCAAGCCTGCTGGGATCTGGGCCACCAGACTTGGGAGCACATCAACTAGCAAAGCTAACCAGGTTTTTGTATCTAGTTTCTTTCAGGGCGTATGCTGATTTTTGTTTTTCCCACATGTTCCATATTGTAAAGCCATTGCGAGTTCCATGTACACTGCAACCCTTTTCCGCAGAAGATGAATTTTATGCGCCGCTGCAACTGGGTATTGCTCTCCGGCTGAGTCCCGATCTCTAAAGCTCACTGCAGTGGCTATCCCATCCCTGTTTAGGACGCACAAACTTAAAGTGCTAGCGACTGTTTTCTCCGAGATCCGATGTCTCCATAGGAATCTCTCCTTTTGAAACTTCATTAAATATTTCAGCACTAAGGCACTTTGCAGGGACAGGCTCTGTCTGTGACATGAGATGGGATTGCAGGGAGCTGTTGGGGTGGGGAGGGCAGCTCCTCTGGCTGGCAGTGTTGGGAAGAACAAAATTGGCTTAACATAGGGAACAGGATCTTGAACTGGCGAAAGCACTTTCCCTGTTTGAAACTGTGTTATCTTTTAAATCGGAGGAATCTGTTGTTCAAGCACAGAACAAACCCAGCCCAGCAACAACAACAAATACTCAGACTTAAGACCCCAAAACCGCTTTGTTTGGCTTCATTTCTGGTTTGGTAGAACAGTGAAAATGAAAGTAAGGTACCTCACAGGAATATTACAGGCAGAAAGGAGAGAGCTCTTTAAAACCCCAGGCCTTTGCCTCTAGGTGTCTTTGTAGTTTGCAAAGTAAAGATTCTATTTTCCCTCAGTTTAGTAACTAAGTTATTCTAAAAGAAATGAGCAATTTACAATGAGGTAGCAGTGATACTTTTTTTTTTTTTCCTGGTGTGGTGGCAGTTGGTATTTAGTAGAAATTGCTAGTGAATATTTGTTTTTAATACGTATGACTTCTGGCTCCAAAGTCTGTTTCTCTGATATATTTAAAATATACATTGTTAGATTTCTCATCAAGATTCACCTATCTTCAGGTGATTTTTTTTAATTATACCAACTTCTAAGTTACTGTAATGTTTGGTACTTTGTGACTATTATTACCATACTAAATGGCTGATTTTAGTTTTGTGGGTCTTTTTATGCAAACCTGTAGACTGGCAAAAAATATGTTTGTATTCACTATGGCTTGGTATGAAGGTATAAGATTAAAATTTGTCACACACTATAAATAAATAACCCCAAATAAACTTAAATTTAAAGGAAATGAGTAATAACAACCAATATTAAAAAATGGAACTTCTTAGGAGAATTTTAACAATTTGGCTAAGAAAGTGCCTCTTGAGTTGCTATCAAGTAACATCTAAGTAGACTGCATTATATAGTAGGGTAAATTACAAGTCTTAAAATAGAATAATGTACTCATTTTATGGTGGCCTTTTTAAAGGGAAGCTTATAATTTGGAAAAGAATCTTTTTCAGGTCAATACACCTTTTGAACAATTAGAATAAATATATTAAAATTTAGAGAAAGGTGTGCATGTCCATAAATTAAGATAAAAGCAGAAGTATGTTTATGTGTAAGCCCAGTGAAGCTAGCCTGTAGGAGTCAGGAGGAAAGGGCAAACTGGTTGTGGGAAGTAATGGGTAGAGTAGCCACTTAGTTTCTACAAGCAATTCAAGCCTTCAAATTTCTTTCAAGTATGGCTTATTTTTCTGCAGGGTAGCCCATGAGCTTAGGCTGCCTTATATTCTACACAGATTTTACTAACTCAAATAAATGTCAAGTTGTCAAATCTCCAGGTCACTAAATGTACTTTTCGACCTCTACTAAATTTTAATTTCATTTTTTGCTGATTAATTCTTCCAAAAAGGTAATGACTTATATGACAAAGTGCAATAGGTCCAATTACATTATGAAACAGATCATACATGTCAAATAATCAAAAATAAGAATGTATTCATAAAATGTGATAAAGATAATTTGTTTTGTATAAATTTATTTTTATCTGTGATGAGATCATTCTTTTCATAAAACTAAGAAGTTCAGGGTAGTTGCAAATCTCAACCAGTAGTAAATCAGAAAGTTATTTTTATCCTGTCTTTGTCACTCTGTCCTTTTCTCTCCCCATGCATACACATATATGCCATACACACACCAGAGAGAGGGGGGAGAGAGAGAGAGGGAGGGAGGAAGAGAGAGAGAGAGAGAGAGAGAGAGAGAGAGAGAGAGAGAGAGAGAGAGAGAGCGAGCGAGCTAGGAGGACTGTGATTGCTATGCATTTGAAACAAGTTAACAAGTCTATTCTGTATGAGAAATATTATTCATTTGGCAATATTGTCAACCCTTTTAGTAACCTGTTATTGATTATGATGCTGGCTTAATAAAGCAAATCTTAGTAAATTGCACTTTGTTCCCAATGCGTGGGTGAATGTTGTTGGGGGTGTTAGAACTTTATCATAGAATAAAGACAGAGACAACTGCCATTATGTGCTATTCAGATAAATAGATCATAACAAATAAAACAATAAAAACTAGTATACTGTTCTTCTACCGACGTGTATTTTCTATGCCCTTCCTCCATGGCTCCGTTTTTCTATTTAATTATCTGTTCAATTAATGCACATTAATTTATATATCCCTCTCAAGTACTTGAGTGAATGTTGAAACTGTCAAGCAAGATAACTCCATGTTTGCTGGTCTTACAGTTGTGTATGAGGCCCACAAGAACACCCACTGGACATGAGTGTTAAGATAAAGTTTGGTGCCCCCAAGACAATCAAACAATGAAAGTACAAGATATCTATTCTTTAAAATGTTTAACATTCTGTAAGGTGTGGTGGCATGCACTTGTTTTCATTTGTTTATTTATCAAGAAATTTTTTGTTCATTTTACATACCAACCACAGTTCCAGCTTTCATCCCTCCTCCCACTCCCCTCTCAGCCTTCCCACCCCAGTCCTCCCAATTCCCTCCTCCAAAAAGGTGAGGCCTCCCATGGGAAGTCAGCAAGGTCAGGTACATTCAGTTGAGGCAGGTCCAAACCTCTCCTCCCTGCATCAAGGTTATGCAAAGTGTCCCACCATAGGTTATGGGCTCCAAAAAGCCAGCTCATGCACCAGGGATAGATTCTGATTCTACTCCCAGGGGCCTCTTAAACAGACCAAGCTACACAACTGTTTTGCTTATGCAGAGGGCCTAGTCCAGTTCCATGCAGGCTCCACAGTCTAAATTTCACGAGTTCCCACTAGTTTAGTTTGGTTGTCTCTGTAGATTTCTGCATCGTGATCTTGATACTCCTTGCACATAGAATCCCTCTTCCCTTTCCAACTGGATTCCTGGAGCTCAGCCTGGTCCTTGGCTGTGGATCTCTACATCATGGCAAACAATTGTAATCCTAGCCTTATTTTAGTTAGCTGAGCCATGGTGATTGTAAATTTGAAATCATCCGTAGCTACCTATTGACACCTTGTCTCAAAAATTCTAAATCAACCCAGAATATTTTTCACAGGAACTAAGGAATAAAGAATTTGACCTTTAGCAAAATTAATTTAAATAGTTTTTAAAAGGCATTTATGACTATCCAAATTCAACTTATATATAAAATGTTGTCCAAAGGAATTGAGTTTGTTGATGGTGGCTAAGGATGGATTCAAAGGCATAATTTTAATGAAAGAAATTCTACTTTTGCGTTGAAAGTGTCAAATCCATGGCATTTGTAAAGGCCAATCACAAGCCCTGAATTTTGGAGCCAGTATTGCCATTAAGATTGTCATCAATAAAAGACTTATGATCCAATTCTCTGGTAAGAAATGCCAAAACAATTGGAAAGCTGCCAAGAAAGTCCGTCTTTAGTTAAAAATCAAGTTGGTTATCCAGACACAGTTCCGTTACAAATAAAACTTTTCAAAATTGTGCCCTGACTGTTTCGTTTCAACAAGTGTGTGTGTGTGTGTGTGTGTGTGTGTGTGTGTATGTGATTATGATTTCGATTTAATTTTCTGTGCTTCCTTCCATTGCATTATTTTCCTTAAAGTTTAGCCTATATCTAAAAAGATCATTATCACTTACCCCTTGTGAACAGTGGATCGAGCTTAATTTTTCAGAAACTAGTTTGTAAA